AAGAATAGTTATCATAAAATTCAGATAAATTCATATCGGCGACACACTGTAGCATTGATTGGTGATTTTGTAAATGTTTTATAGCATCTGGAGGATCAAGAACTAGGACTTTTGGATGTGTTTGTCTGTACTCCTGCAGTTATAGATCAGAGAGTGTACAATGGATTCGATTCAACATCATCCAGTATTAGCAAAAAATAGCCCTTAAAACAGAAACTTCTATTAACTAACTTTTAATATACCTAACGCCAATTATGTCCAAAACAAACACTTCATAATACCTGTGATTAACAAATCAACCTCTGATTGCAACATATGAATGCCATCCACCTAAATTCATGCCTAAAATGAACTATTGAAACCTGGAAAATAGCTCATACAGGCTAAAAGATAATTAAGAAAGCCAAGCAACAGGTCAGGAGATAAACATACCAGGAAAAAGAAAAGGTACACCCCTCTCCAAACATTAAGCAACATAAAACTCACGAAACCATTTCCAAATCAATATCAATACAAGCTCACCGAGGTAAAGTTTATTACAACTCAAAGCTGATAGAGAAAATATATAGCATAGGAAGAACAAATTAGTTATTCTCAATACCTACACTCATCAAAAGGAATATAACAGATATACATGTATCTAACAAAACTGGATTCATAGGTCATACTAGATCATTCCAAGATACCATCAGTCTCAAAAGAAAACAGAAACTATAGGATCTAGGATTTGGAGTTTTGGACCAACCTCGAGAATCTGGCGCCACTCTCTTCCTGCCATCTGCATCAAAAATAAAAATGGTTCATATTAATGTAAGGCCACCTATGCACAGGTTATTGTTTGCATCCTTTCATGTGTTTTCTCATTTCATCATGAAATTTAAGAAAATACAGTTAAACATATCAAGAAATATGTTCACTTACCTTGTGCAACACAATATCAAACGGACCTTGGTCCGAAAGAGGCCTGCTATGATCAATTGGAAGAAATGATATCCCCTTATTCCTGCACCAGTTCCAACATTTTACACAGTTATAGAAAAGGAAAGAAAGAACAAATCAACATCGCAAAAGAACCCATTTTAAAATTAAAATTTAGAGCCATGGAGGTAGTTCAAGGTTTTTCTTAAAAGTATAGACTTCAGTAAAAGTAGCAGCAAATTCAACAAGCCTTATAATATTACCGAAATCAAAATCTTTGCTAGCAGAAATTCTATAACTTTGTACATATCTTCAGACATCCATTCCAAATGACAAAACTGGAATTAGTATATTGTAATCACCGCAATAAACTATAGTCTCATAAAGTAATAGACTTATTGAAGTTCAAATGATTGATGTGATGTTAATAATGTAAACTAGTACTTCATTTTCCACATTAAACTCCGAAACGATCGACCAGAAACAAAGTTGCCAAAAAATCAGAAACCAAAGGAAAATAAAACCCAAGATTCACCTGGCTAAACCTTCGAGTTTTGGTTGTAAAAAGCTCTCAACTTTCTTAGAAGTAAGGGTGTAACCGACAACAAAAGTTCTCTGTTGTTGTGGGGGTTGTTGTAAAGTTTCGATGGAACAGGGCGACGTCGTCTTGGGTTCTTCTTCTTCTCTCGTCGTCGTTGGGAGAAAACTCCCATGACTCGCTGAAGCAAACAAAAGGGAAGAACGGTAATGTAGAATATCGATCGCAAGGGGAGGATTTGAGGGTATAAATAGGCGTCTGGGGATTCAATGATTCGGCATTTGCATGCCTTTTAGGCTCGGTTTATGGACGCGTTTGATTTTATTTTATGTTGAAAAATATTTTTTTTCAGTTAAATAAAATGATCAAGTTTAACTGTAAAAAAGCGATAATATTAGGGGTTAAATTTAATACATATAAGTTTATGGTTAGGTTTAGTTGGGGTTTGATTTTTTCTTTTTTCTTTTAGTTTGATTCATTTATCAATTTAACTCTTTTATATATTTAATGTTAAAAATATTTTATAATAAAATGTAGGATAAAGTACACAAATAATACTCTGATTATAAGATATTGCTTTGTTGAGTCATCCGACTATTAAAAGTTACAAAATGATCTCTTAATTAGACGTACTTGCTTTGTTGAGTCCCTTGACTATTAAAAGTTACAAAATGATCACCTGACTATTTATTATGTTTCAAACTCATCCTTTTTCGTTAAAAATTTAACGTGAGTTTGAGTTGGACTATAACCTATGACTGAGATATGAAGTCGTTTGAGATTATGAGATCATATTTGATCATATCTCAATTAACATGTTAACGTCCAACTCAGACGGTCGTTAATTTTTTAATGAAAAATGACGAGTTTGGAACATAATGAATAATCGAATGATCATTTTATAACTTTTAATAGTTGAGGGACTCAACAAAGCAACTATGTGATTCTATTTTAAATTCTGAAAATTTTATTTTTCTCATTCAATTTTTGTATTATAATTGCTTTTTAATAGAAAGAAGGGAAAAAATACCACATTTTTTTTTATTAAGCATCATTCTCTTCTTACCTACTAAAGTGATCAAGTTGATACAAGCATTTTCTGATGAGATCCAATCATCTCTGTGTGACACTTTCAATCTAATCTAGTTGGGAAAAAAAACAGATGTATCATATTAATTGATTGAAATTTAATTGAAGTCAAATCAAAACCAAATGTTAAATTAAGAATTAAATGACACATATATCAACCATGAGATTCTATTATGCAATTACACCTCAATTTATGGACCAAAGTACAATTTTGATCGACGACACCTCAATTTATATATCCACACTTTGGATATTGAATTCTAATGTCCAATTTCAAAACTAAAAAACTTATTAAAATTACATAATGACATTCCTTAAGCTTAAAAAAACCCTAAAATCGTACCTTATCATCAATAACTCAAATATACATTCTTAAATATCAAATATCCACTAAATATATTGTTAGAGTGTATTCAAAGACTAACCATGAGATGATTGCAATGACATATTTAATTTTATCTTTTTTTATTAATATAAGATATTATTATTATTATTTCAGTTATTATTTTGTGTACATAAATAGAATGAACTACAATAAAGTCATGAGAATGATTATTCTTAAAGTTTTTAGTTAAATATTATTGTGGGTTTGGACAACAATAATGTATTAAGATTAACGTGTAATTGATTGATGACAAAGTGTTATCATTGACATAGAAATATCAAAATTAATATATAGGTATGTGTAATATATTTGACTGACCCACTATGAGTATGTTTCTTGGATTATTATGTGACAGACACAACATTATTCATAGTGATAATTATATGTATGGTCCCAGAGTTGATATTATCATTTTTCAAACATTGTGAGTCACATGTTTTGATATAGTTAAACGTGTACCGTAACAAGTTGCATTATGAAAATTGATGTTGGACCTATCACGATTTATGTAATGAGATATGGTTGATCAAAATATGATTTGTCCCTCCTACATAATAGAGTAATATCTTAGGTTTCTTAACTGAGTGAGACTATAAGATGCATGACCATGCTCGAATAAATTGCTATGAAATATCATAGTCATTCATTTATATAATTTCCTTCAGATATCAAGAAATATTAGATAGATTATACATGTATGACTAGTCCATGACTTGTGTTCAGTTTAGATACAAAGGACAAATTGATGTATAAAAGTTAATCACAACAAGGTATCGAATCATAACTTCTTGTAATTTTGATAGCATTAATGTATTATTAGATGTTACTCATTGCATTACTGTTAATGTTACATGAACTTATAAGGTCACATCTTATAGTTGAAATGAACAATTATAAACTGAATTACATGCGTATAAACTTATTGAGCACAAATACAATATTTAGTTAAAATGAATATATATTATACATATAATATTAAATTTAAATAAAATAAATTTTATAATTACTGTAATTATAAATTTCGCCATATATACTTTAGTGATAATTATTATAATTATAAAACTCTTTTAATATATATATGAATGATAGAATCTAATTTGAGTTGAAATAGCTTTTTATATTTAAAAGAGATAAATATTATAATTATAAAACTCCTTTAAAATATAATATTCAATTTAAAATAATATATATCTGATAAAATTTAATATAAGTTGAATTAGATTTTTAAAGGTTATATAAAGATATTAAGGGATGTAGATGGAGTTTAACGTGAGGATGTGGCTCTTGTAAAATATTATAATTAATTATTTGATATACTGTTCAAGAAAATAATTGATTTTAAAAGCGTATTACTATTAAGATGATATTAAATATCTTTATAAGTATATTTAAAAAATCTTAAAAATAACACGAACCAAGAGACTTTAGTGTTGAAGGAATTATTGTTATTTTTTGAGGTTCCGAATTTGAGCACCATGGATACCAGAGGAACGAGGGTTTAATATCAAATGATTGGGAATTATCTTTGAACATATACTAATTTGTATTTACCCCGGATTAATAAAAAAATATTTAAAAAAAATAATGAAATATTTGACATGATCTCTTATAAAATTATTTTTGTCGATAATGTATTGAATAATAATCTTTAAAAAATATAATTACTTTTTAATTTAAACTTTTACTTTTTTATCAATGTTTATTAATATTCTTATGAATTGAATTGGTGTGGTACCAATGCCAATCAAATTCATTATTGAATTGCATAAATAGATAACTTGATAAACTAGAAGGAATCGTTTTACCGTATTTTACTATAAATTACGTAAAACAAAGGGGGGGGGAAATACAGCTGACTGTAACATATGTCATGTTTGTAATAACGAGACGGCTTCGCCAATTCTGTTCTTATCCAAATGAATTTGTTTGTTCAAATCCAACGCCATCTCCTTCCTATTGATAGTTTTATGTTGAACCAACGTCAACACCTTCCTGTTTATTGGTGAAAATATTTGTTTACTTCAAAAACCTTCCTAATCATCTCAATAAAACCCTAAATCTTCTTCAAGATTACCATTGTCCCATTTTGCTAATGTTACCATTTACCATTAAACAATCATCAAATCTCCAGAACTTCAATCTTTAACATTCGGGATGAAAAGCAAAGGGCATAGTCGAAAATCTTGTAACAAGTTTGTTCGGTGCTTGAAAGCTCCTTTCAGAGCTCTGCGCAAAGCTAGGGATGGTTATATTCGATTTTTGACGAGTTGTGCTTCAAGCATCAATTACGGGGAATGCCCCGGTTACTTCCCGGGCCAATACCATGAGTTGCCGAGGAGCTTTAGTGAAAGATCATCAGCAACATCTACATCTAATGTCAAGGAAGAAGCTGTTCTGAGGGAGCTTATCAGGGCTGCATCTGTTCCAAGCTTGAGTCGTGGGAACGAAATGGATATGTTTCCTCCAAAACAATCGAGGATGAGGATGAGGATGAGATCAAGAGGGTTGCCAAAGAATATGGGTAGAATTGATGAAGACAAGCCTTGTGAATTCGAAGACAACGATGTTGTTATTGTTGAGAGAAAGAGCAAGTTAGGTATCAAACCCCTGCATCAGGAACCTATTCCCATGTACACTGGCAGGGCGTGATTTATTTTATATGTAGATATATGTATGTGTACATGAGAAAAAAAGGGCACAATGTATAGCCAAAACTTAAAAGCAAACCTGACATGCCCAGAAATTTGATCAAATGCAAGGCATTGCACAAATAATATGACATTTCAAAGCTCAAACTAGCATCTCCTAAATCATTCAACAATGGCTTCCATTGATCGCTCTTTTTAGAGACACCATTCAATCACCTAAAAGATGGGAAATTAGTGCCAAGCAAAAGGCGCTCAAAAGATTCTCTAAATCAGCTGAAAGCCACACATTACCAGATCATTGCATTGTCTGTAAAATGTTACATAATTTCTCAATCATTCACTTCACAGTATTAACTTAATGGCAAAATGCTTCCACAACCAAAAATACTCGGTAAATTGTACGAAAATTTAACAGTTTCATCATGAAAATAAAAGCAAATGCATGTAAGAACCTAGCATTTATCACAGATGAAGAAACAAGTAGGAACGAAAGAACCTTGCAATTCATCAGGAATGAAAAAACAGACAAGAGATTGAAATTCCATCAATCTACTTCCTTGATTACCAACTCGAGATTTTAATTCCACTGACGTTTTGATCTTTAACTTCCCCTTTCTTAACCCAAACCATCACTTCATTTCCCTGATTCAGCTCTCTACGCCTACTAAATTCTCCATAATATGTCCTATTCAGCTCCGGATTGCGCCGACGGTGGTTGAAATCAACGTTTTGCCTACCATATCTACGATAATACCCTCTTCTGATCTCACCCTTCATTGACATCGCCTGGAATTTCCGTCCAATCTCCGACGTATGGCCATGTGTTTTCGGAATGATCCTCGGTTGTGATTCCATTTTCGCCTCAACCTTCTCTTCCTCGACACTCGCCAGCTTCGGAGCATGGACCCCTGTTGTAATCTCGCCTTCCATCGACATTGCTTGAAACTTCCGTCCAATCTCCGCCTTAGGGCCATGGGTTCTACGGGTGATCCTCGGTAGTGGCTCCCTTCTCGCGTCGTCAACATTTACTTCCTCAGCACTCTCCAGCTTCGGAGCGTGAGCTTCATTTCCGATCAGTTCCTCCGCCCTTTCATTAATCTCCTCACCCCTTTTCATTAATTTCCGTCCAATCTCCGCCGTACGACCATGGGTTTTCGGATTAATCCTTGGTTGTGACTCCATTCTCGCCTCAAAGTTCTCTTCCTTGACACTCGCCAGCTTCGGAGCGTGGACCCCTGTGATAATCTCGCAATCCATCGACATTGCCCGAAACTTCCGTCCAATCTCCGACTTAGGGCAATAGGTTCTACGGATGATCCTCGGTCGTGGCTCCCTTCTCGCGTCAACATTTACTTCCTCAGCACTCGCCAGCTTCGGAGCGTGAGTTTCATCATCGATCAGTTCCTCCTCTCTTTCATTAATCTCCACACTCGTAGGCAGCAGCGCGTTACCAGCACGTCCCTTCACTTCCTCCCCCTCGTTAGCTGCCCTAGCTTTCTCTTTCATCCCGTTCCTTTTCTTTTTTCTCCAGTTCTTCTTCTTTTTCTTCAATTCCTCGCCTTTCTTCTCTGTGTCGGAATCCTCATACGCCACGACTATCTCATCATTGGGCTTCCCTTCCGCAACACGCTTCCCATGATCCCGATTTAATCGAGGAAAACGCCCTTTTTTACGGTCTGCTCTTCCAGAAACCTCGTCATCAACTCGCTCTTCAAAAATTGTTTCCTTTTGCTCTTGCTGTTGAGGTTCTGCTTCCTCTTCCTTTCCTTTCTGCTTTTGTTCTTTCTCTTTATTCCATCGTTCTTGCAGTTGAAGGAGAGTTACATAATTTGACGGAATAGAAGACAACTTGTTCTTCCCATTGATTTTCTCAGGCTCCTCCATTAAAGAACAGAAAAAAATAGATTCAAGCGATAATTAAAAAAAAATCAGGAACAAAGAGAAATTAAATGAAGGCGGATTTGAATTCCATTTACTTCCGGACTGAAAAAGACTGAATTCATGACTCTTTTTGTTGGAGACAAAGTAGCATTGCATTTGTAATTAATTACGAAATTGCCAATATTTTATTGGGGGTTTGTGGTTCGGAGAGAGATTTTTGGGTAAACTACACAAAAAGTCATTAATTTTTGACTAATATTTTATTTTTTAACTAAAATTTAAAACTAATAATTTGATTATTAATATTATCGATTTATAACAAATCACGTTAGCATTAACGTGGACAAACAGACACTAAGTATCCTATGGTTTCATACAAATAACATGAAAATAATTATGACCTAAATTGGAATGGTCCATGAATGCAAACACTAATGGGAGTGTTTACATATTCCTATGTTTTGAGTTAGCACATAGGGTAGAAAACTGTGAATATATATATGTCTCGAAGCTTTACAATTATACTTATTATTCATTTAGTTTCCCAATATGCATATTTATACAAAGTTGTGTATAAATATCTTGTCTTAAATTTATCTTGACGTTTATGGAAAGAAATAATACTTGAACTTTGTTCCAAAGAAATCGGAGTCGTCTTTCGTTGAACTGAGAACATATATGCCAATATCATTCATTCCACATGTAATGAAATACATGGCATGGATATAACATATGAAGTTGAGCTTTAAAGAAGATAAGCGAGTAGTAAATTTGCAATCAAACTCAAGTTAGAGGATTTTATATACATGAATCTAACCAAACTATATATACTTTTTCTGCAGAAAGCTACAAAAGAAATATTAGCTTCCTCGTATATCTTTTTGTACTTGGATCCAGCATCCAAGGAAAAAACACTTTCAACATTCTCTACGTAATGAATCGATGAAAAGATTCAGTTTTAAGAAATTAAAGATATTATATGAGAATAATGAAATGCTCGAAAATGAGGTATCTTTTTTAGTCCTCTGCTAATTTACTTTTTATCTCTTGAATGGGGGATTTAATACATGTACATTTGGGTTGTTGATGCTCCACCAGTAAGGGTGGTTTCCGGCAATCGGTTGTTGCACCATGAGTTCTGCAACATTTCATGGTGGTTGTGTTATAGTATTCTTTACTTGAAGAAAGACAAGAGAAAAGAAAAACATCAGTCAAAAACTTTAGGGAGTCAAACTTGTGATAATATGGTGTCATATCACCCATTTAACGCACCACATCAGGTTTTAGTCATCCATGTTAACCATCGCTAATGTTAATGACAAATCATTAGTTTTGAAACTTCAATAGGAAACGAAAAAATATTTAAACATTATTGATCATTTGTGTAATTTATTTTTTTATTAATTAAAAGTACTTGTAAAAAATATTTAAAAAAAAATTTAATCTTTTAATATTTGATATTATTATCAAAAAAGTATTTTTATGAAGTAAAATGTTTATTTTAAATATAATATAAATCGGCTGAAATGATGTTTAAATTAAGTATTCTATTAAATGATATTGGAATGATATTATAAATTAAATAAAATGATAATTATAAATATTATGTTGTAAAATAAAAATAAATTAATTTAAATGATATTTAAATATATTAAACATATAAACTTAAATTGTAGTAATATATATATATATTTGAAATACTCTGGTATCATATAAATATACAATAGAACTTTTAATAAATTAATACTTGATAACTTAATAATTTTCTCGATCCTGACTTGGGTCCAACGTCTAAATTAATAATTTCAATAAATTAATAAAATATAATTTTTTGGAAGGCCTTATAAATATTTGGTTCATTCAATATTATAAATTAATAATTCTATAAAATTACAAACATAACTAGGACAACTTAGTAAAATATACTTTTAGACACTTTTTAGATGTGAAACCATTGGTTGGTTTTGATTTGGATTTACTAATTAGAAATGTTTGATGTTGTTTATATAGTGGTTTATTTCTTTATCATACATGAACTTGTATTAGGTTTTAACTAATATTACGTACTACAATGAACTTTTTCTAGGGATATGTATTATATTTAATTAGACACATTGTACATAAAAATTATTCACTTATTCAATACAATCGAAAAAAAATCTTTTTAAATTAATAAAATTACGTAGTTCGGACATTATTAATTTATACAGGTTTTATTGTAGATTGTGAATATTTTTTTAGTATTTTACTATAAAGTCCCATATTTTTGGGTCACTATGAACTTAAAGCATTCCCGTCCCCCTCTGCAACAAACATGCGAACAGGTTGTGCATCTGTATCTAAGCTACCAATCCTTGAATGTAAAAATTCAAGTGTGTAAAATAAACAATCTATAACTCATGAAAACTATACGATTAACGTATATGGAGTACACTAATCAGCATTCTAACATTTATCACACTCCAGACACAGCTTTAACCATAAATTTATAATTAACATCATACAATTTCCTGGTAAACACTATCGAAGAAAGGCAATAGCACTTTAGATCTTGTCAACACCCGTTGGGTTATGAGCACAGGCATGAAGAAGCACTATAGCTCCAGCTGGTGCAGCACCAAGATTTTGGTTACATAAAGCATAGAAAACTTGGGTAAAGGAATTTGAAACCAAAAGCAAGCAATAGAATGGAAAATGCTTATGCACATATGCGCTGAACAAAACATAAGGCTTCAATAGTCAAGCTGACAATTTCTCTTGGTAGGTTTGTTGGCTTTAACTGTCGGTTCAAGAGAATAATGCTCACGAAATATTGAAAGAATCCTCTCTCACAGGCTTTTAAATCCTGTTCAGAATCTTCTGAGATCATTTGAGTATGAAGAAATTGAATAAGGATTGAAATTCTTTCTCCGTCTAGTATTGTGTTAGTATACTGAGTTACAATGCTCAACCGGTTTTTTCCTAAATGAAACGGTTTCTTATTGTAGTTGCTCAACCGGATTGAAATCTAAAGATGGATTCTCACACATACAAGGATTGAAGGAAAAAATTCTGAATCAACCCCGAGACCTCTCTGTGGAAGCCGGTGGTGTAGGTTCTTCCAAGAAAGATCTTAGTAACCAGAGGAATTTGTTTTAAGGATGTTTTGAAGTTCATTGAGGTACTCATTTTTATCTTTAATTTCCACAAATGTATGGTGTTTCTGGCTAACTTTGGTTCACTTGGTGATGTCAGTATGGTTATTCTCCGAAGAAATTGATGAAGATCGGTGGGGATACACTTCGTACATCAACATGGCCTCAGTTGATTCAGGTTACTCTTCCGTTTTCTAATTCTCCAATATATGATGGTTACATGCCATGGATTTTGATAATCGTGTTCTCAAAATTCAATCCGACAGCTGAATTTTTTGGTGCAGGTTGATGATCTTTCAGAGAACATCCAAGTCCAAGTAAAATAAATTTCGATACATTATTTGGACATCACCAAAGGGTATAAAACTAAAACTGATTCTTTGGTACAGAGAATGTACAGATCACCGAATTCAGTTGTTAACAAGGCAAGAACCCAGCAATTAAACAAGCAAGGGATGCTATCGGAGGTAAGTGTCTTCCATGTGAGGTTGATCGAGTGTTTTACAACCGAATACACTGCTTAATGCTTGCTCCTCTCGGATTCAGGGTCGAAACACAGGGCACTTTGCCATTTGTGTAGGTTATGAAGATTTCTGAACTTGGCTGTGTTGCTGCCTTTTGTTAGTTATCATACATCGATTTGTTGAAATCAAAATTGTATAATTAACAAACCAGGAACCGTTTTAGGGTTACATCGGAGAGTGCTGTTCTAGCTGTAACCATAAACTTGGCTGTCTTGCTGCCTTTTGTTACTTGGCCAGACATTGATTTATTGAAATCCAGAACTCTAACCAGCAATCTGGGAACCCTCGTGGTTTCATTGATTGCAATTCTTCTTGTACTTTTGTGTAATATTCATATCACTCTTCAGTATTTCTTACTGCTAAATCACCAACTATTTCTTAATTACAAAAAATTATATCCATCAAAATAAGTTCATCGTTTAATGTTGTAAACAAACTTATAAAACTGCAGGAGAAGAAAACAAATTTTAAATAGAAAATGCATAAAAAATTATAAATAACTGATAATTTTAAATGAACATCCTATAATTATGGTTAATGAGCGAACCCATTGAGCAGTCTTAGTGATAAAACAAAAATGCTATTCTCTTTAGAGAAATTAAGTTTGAACAGCTATGTATAGAATATATACATTATCAATAGGTTTATAAATTATTCTAAATTAATAATATCTTGTGATTGATACATGCTATTTTAAAAATATATATGCATAATAAATACAAATTGAAAAAAATATTAAATGTCTCTTTTTATATTATTATTGTTTATTTTATTTGGGCAAACTATATATTTTTTTGGTTAAGACAGGTTTATGAGGTTAGCCTAGCTGCATGTTATATCAGCTAATAACAAATCCTCTGCTTCCTTCAATAGGTTTTGCATAAATACAAAATTCTCATGTCGATTCCACATTTGTTTAGCATCGAGATATGTAACTATATAGTTATTAGACATACTATATATCTCCTTCGGAGGGTTTTGGGCAAACTATATAGTTATTAGACATACTAGCCTGAAAGTCACTTGGATTTAGCTTACTCATTCTGAATTTAATTTGAGAAAAAAATCAAGTTCGATTCTATTTTGAATTATGTTGGAATACATAGTAAATTATAATTCTGCTTTTCTTTTCATATTCGATTTTAATTTTGATAAAATTTAATTATTATTTTGTAAGAATTTTACTTTAATGATTGTTCGAAAAATTAAGAATTATTTTATAGTTTAAAAGTTTAATGATTAAAATGAACTTTCAGCATAGTTCAGTGACCTATGTTGTACTTTTCCTAGAGTCTTTATAAGCTAAGAACCAAGTCGGTAAATATACTTTACTCCTTTTCTCGATTCACTGCAAAACTACTTTTTCTCCCTTTGGGACTTCTCTGAATTTTTTCTTCTCAATATCGGGTATTTTTTTGTGTAATTTTAATTTTGAAATACTGAACATAATTACAGTCCGGTAAGCTGAAAGATTCCCGCCCACCGGTCGGCTAGGCAGAGGCAACAAAAGCCGGTTGCCGGTATAGCTTGTGATGGACCCTTCCATAGTAAAGCTCCTTGAAGAAGACGAGGTTTTTCTTTGTTCTGGGTTTTTTCTACTACTTTGCAATAGAATTCGTAATAAGTGAACGTTGTTAAATCTACTTTCCAATTTTGGTTTTAAAAACACTGTTAATAGGACGATTCTATGCATTCTGGAGCTGCCGTTGAGGCTTTCCAGACCGCATTGAATCGAGATATTGAAGGCGATGCGTCGACTTCTCAGCACTCGGGTTCAAGTACTGGTATCGTTCTTTCTTCTTTTTTACTTTTCGTTCTTAGTTGGCTTCTAATTTGCAAGATTAAGAGACTAGATTTGGTTTCCTAACTAGTATTTTTTTAGAGTGGAATTCAGTTATTTTTGTTTATTTAGGGTTAGAGTTTCTTAATTGAGACTGTCATTAGCTTACTTTTGTGTTAATAATTGCAATTGTTAGTTATGAATTGATTCTCCTGGGAATTTCATTGAATGTTTGTTATGTCTTCGTTTTGAAAAATAAAGCAGCTGTCTCTCAAGGAAGCAATCCTGCTTCTGGTCAGTCAGTTGCACAATGGCCAACCCTGGGGCAAGATGGGAACACCAACTTCCAAAATCAACAAGTCCTTCGAAGTGTTCAGCAGCAACATCAGATTTCATCCGAGACTGAGCAAAAGCAACAGGGATCTGTAAATGCCGGGAGTCAGCAACAATTACAACAGCCAAATGATGTTCAGCAGGAGCATAATCGTCTACCACTGCAACAAAAACAACTCCAAGGTGATAATCAGCAAGGAGTAGCTGAACAAATTCCTGCTCAGGTTTCTCAAACGACTAGGATTCAGACTACTGAAAAAAGTCCTACCCCACGTGAACCTGAGAGAACCAATAATCAAGACAGTGAATCACAATATGCTAAATTACAGAAGACGAGTAATCAACCGGCCAGTGGAGCAGAGCAGCCAAATAATCCCATGAATCGAGGAAAACAAGTTCCATTTGCTGTGTTGTTGCCTGCCTTAGTGCCCCAACTCGATAAAGACAGAGCCATGCAGCTTCATACTCTGTATGGGAAACTAAAGGTGGACTTCTAATATCAACCCATTTGCTGCGACTATTGTAATTATTTAGTAATGTGCGCAATAGATAGAATGGACTTTTTTGTCTCTTTTTCCCCCTGATTTTTCTACTGGCTTTACCTGTTAGAAAAATGAAATTGCAAAAGACGGATTTGTCAGGCACATGAGAGATATTGTAGGAGACCAGATGCTGCGGTTGGCAGTTAACAAGTTACAAGCGCAGGTCAGCTCAAATCTTCCACTTTATTGAAGTAAAAACTGATGCTTTAGTTGATTGCATTTTAATTTTGAAAACAAGCTAAAAACCCATATCCATACTTTCAGATAAGTTCCAATCAGTTCCCACTACAGTCCCATACTGGAGCACGACCGACTGCTCTCCGGATGCCATCTGTTGGTGGTGCCACACAGCTTGCTAGTCCACATTCATTATCTCAGCTGCACCAAAAGGGTCCTAATTCTCCTGCCAATTCAACTCAGGCCCCATCCCCAGCAGTCCCCATGCAGGCTAATTCAAGTTATTTATCTGGTGAAAACAAGGCTAAAAAATCTCAAGAGCTGGATTGCCAATCAGATTCTCGCTTTGGAATGGTGGGTAGCCAAATTTCTTCCTCCGGTTCAACCACTGCAAATCAAGAAAGAGGACGTTCATCAATTCCGACACAAGGAATTAACAAGCAACAGCAACAACCTTTGAATTTCCCACAAAATTCATTTGGCATGTACGGGAGTAATAATTATCACACATATTCTGGGCCAAATGTTAATACTTCAGCTTCCACTCTAAAGCTGCAACCTCATGATTCACAAATGAGGCAAATTGCACATCATCAAAGCATGGGACCGAATCCTGTTGGAGGATCAACCCAGGCTATGAACATGATGAGTGGGCCTAAGCTTGAGAGGCAAAACTCTAGTAATGACCCAAATAGATTGCAGGGTGCATCTCTTTCTCACTTTTCAGGTGGTTCAGTTCCTTGGCAAGCCTCCCCAAGTAAGGAGCTGAATCCTGGTCCTTTGTCATCAGCAGCATATGTGAAACAGGAATCTGTTGATCAAGGTGCTGACCAGTATAGACCTCATTTGTCTGCCACCCAGGGAGTGTCGACTACACTAGTTGAACAAGGAAATGCAGTTATAACTACTCCAAGAGATGAGCCTGGAGAGAAGCAATCTTCCAGAGTTGGCTTCTCAACACCTTCAATCACAGCACAAATGGATTCTAATGTACGGATATTATCATCTTAGTCTATGTTTTCTCATTGTGATATCTTGATGATGCCTATCACTTTGTTTTAGAAGTCTGCATTAAAATTTTTGCATCAAGTATTTTCCACTTAGAGTGATGCCTTCTTTCAATTATGAAGTGCCTATACACGTGGATTGTGATGTATGGTCAATTTGATGGCAAATGACATTTATGAATCATGAGCTGTTTTGCTGACTTGTTAGATTTATCTCTTTAGTTGCTCTGACTTCAAAGTAGAGTAGGCAAACTTCCCAAAATCGTGCTACATAACAGGGTCGTTTAAACATGCAATTTTATGTATGGCATATTCTTGATTCTGAATTCACTTTCTATTCAGTTTACTTACTTGAAATTTATTTACCTCTACCAACATTTTTGAAATTTATGTACTTTAGTGATTTCCCCAGTGAAGCACGTGCTCATGACTTGGTTTCTTTTGTCAAATTTTTGGGTTTTTTTTTTATCAGATGGGCTCTAGAAATACATCTGTGCCTGCTCCAGCTGGGGTCAACGCAAGAACCCCTCAAAAAAAGTCTTCTATTGGACAGAAGAAACCATTGGAAGGTCTGGGTTCCTCACCAGCACCGTCAAGGTTAAATCAACTCTCTGTTGCTTGATTGTATGGAATAGTTATCAAGGATCAATTGAAAACCATTTGGTTCCTTTTTGATATTAACCTATTAAATCATTTTTCATCCATATTCAATGGGTTCCTACAGCAAGAAGCAAAAAGTGTCTGCAGCATTTTCAGATCAGAGCATTGAACAACTAAATGATGTCACTGCTGTTAGCGGAGTCAATCTCAGGGTATGATTCTTTACAGTCATCTCTGCCTGAATTTAATGATTAAGTAGTTATAAAATCCCTAAAATAAAAAGTTACATCCTTTTTATGTTCTGCTATTAAATAGGAAGAAGAAGAGCAACTATTGTCTGGCCCCAAGGATGAGAGTCGAGTTTCAGAAGCATCTAGAAGGGTTGTGCAAGAGGAAGAAGAAAGGCTCTTTTTGAAGAAAACCCCTTTGCAGAAGAAATTGGCTGAAATTAGTTAATATTCTTTATACCTCCCTGGTCCTAAGTCCTTCAATGTTGTACATTTACATTCTGCTTTTCATTATAAGCAATAATCATGTCTTCTTTTCTTTGTCTTCTCGCAGTGGCCAAAAGTGGTTTGAAGAATATAAGCAATGATGTGGAACGATGTTTGTCCCTGGTGAGATGCTAGCTTCTTGGCCCTTTTCTTTATATTCAGTTTATACATTTCCTCATGTATCTGAACCTATAGAGTGTGGAGGAAAGAATGCGGGGGCTCATATGCAATTTAATCAGACTGTCGAAACAGGTCAGCCTTGATTCCTCTCAGTTAACATGATTTTTTAATATCTTTCTAATTTGAATGGATCTCTTGTAGCGTGTTGATGTTGAGAAGCCTAGGCATCGGACACAAATTACCTCAGATGTCCGGCAGCAAATTATGATGATGAACCAGAATGCCAGGGGAGAATGGGAGAAAAAGCAGGCTGAGGCGGAGAAGCTCCAAAAACTTAATGAAGTGGGTGCTGTTTTATCTATAGTACATTAAAAAAAGGAACCAATAATGCACAACAATGCACTGACAGACATTGGATTGGGTATGATGTATCATTTATTCCTTAACACTGTATCTGTTACATATATGTGGTTGCAGCCCGAGGCTGAGACTGCCGTTGATGGTGACAAGGAGAAAGATGACAGTCGAGCAAAAGTAGTAAAGGTATTATCATTAAGTATTTTTCCGAACATTATATGTTTCTTGATCTTCTGAATAAGAGGAGTAACTCTGTGGTAATGTTTAGGTAAACAAGGAGGAGGATGACAAGATGAGGACCACTGCTGCAAATGTTGCTGCACGTGCAGCTGTTGGAGGGGATGACATGCTGTCAAAATGGCAACTTATGGCTGAGCAAGCTCGCCAGAAACGTGAAGGGGGAACGGATGCAGCATCTGGTTCACAGGTAGGTAAAGATGTGAACAACAGGCCTCCATCTGCATCTGGAAAAAGTACAAAGTACAATCAAGAATTTGAAAAAACGGGTCCGCTCAGTCCTCATGCATCTGGTAAGCTTTGATTCACGGCCAGATCTCTTCTCAAATTTAAATTTATACATTTAACTGGTTAGTATGGTTGTAAGGTTCATGGTGTGTACTGTTAAATTTGATGACGGTCGTGAATGCTGGTATAGATCTGAGAAAATCGCAATTGGTTCTTACTATGTATTATCCAATGGAACTGATTTGAGCAAACTATAAAAGCAATGCATGTTACTAAACCTGATAGCAATAAATCCTTGCATATACTAAGATACAAATGATTCGGAAATGACTCTTTTTTATGGAAAGGAAATTTGACTGTTGATTTAATAAAGTCAGTTTTATCTGTTATAGTCATTTTCTAGCATTTGAATAACTGTGTAAAGCAAATGTATTTATATGAAACTGCTCAACATATGCTTGCCTTAGAGTTTACTGATATTTTTTTTTGGATTAAATCATTCCTGCACTGCCTGCTCCAAAATTAGTCATATATTTACTCCTGTGGATTATGTTCCGTTCCAAAGTTGTCATATATTTGCTTTTCTTTCATTCTTTCAACAGGGGGAAGCAAGAAATTTGGCCGGAACCAGGGTGTGATGCTCACGCCCCATACTGGAGTGGCTCGTACTATTTCGGTTAAGGATGTGATTGCAGTTCTGGAAAGAGAGCCCCAAATGTCCAAGTCCACACTTATTTATAGCTTGTACGAAAAAGCCTGCTCTGAATCTAAAGCGGGGTGATTATAAAGCACCTTTATACTTTGGGCGTTTCATGTTTCCCATTAGGTATCTGATTAAATATAATGGAAATTAAGATATCCTTGTCTGTACCTTTAGCTTTTAGTGGAAGAATATTTTATGGAACAGCTTGATTTTCAGGTTTGTAAGTGCTGTATCACCTCATCTTTCTACATTCCTCAGAACCATGGGGAGCAGTTGGATGATTTGATGTTAATAATTGTATTATTATTGTTATTATGTGATATTGTTTTTCGTAATGAATAATGTTTTAAAGTTGATGTGAAATGTCAACATTCTCAATTTCTCTTTTTAAATTTCTCCTATTGTGTTCATAGTTACTTGGAACAGAATAACTCGTTTCGTTTGTAACATCATCTAATGATAGTACTTAATGATCATACATAATGAACATTCTTTAAAAATAAAAAGATAATATTGTTATTGAGCAATCATATTTGGTCGTTTGAACAAGTTGTTCATATTTATTCTTTCATATTCCCTTATATTATAGGTTAGAGTATTCTATTTTCTTCTCCTAGAGTCTCTCTTCCATTTAGGTAAGATTAAGATTAGATTTAAAATTTATCAAAAAAAAAATATTGTTACCATCTATGTATTAGATAATGTAATATTTTTTATGAAATTTGTAGATAATTTGTTTTAAAAAATTATTAATTTGTCAATATAATCTACTTAAATTAGTTATACCTATAAATCAGGTTATCTCTATATGAATATAATTTATATAAATTGAAAAAATATATTTTTTAAATTAAATTTAAGAATAAAATATGTTAATGGTCCTCTGCTCATTTAAAAGTCAGTATTATATATATTATTTTGAAATTGGATTTTTATATCATTTTTATTTGAAATCTTGATCTCTTCTAATTTGTGTTTAGTTTTAGGTTTAATTAGAAAATAACTGTTTAAATTATACCTCTTGTTAATTATGAGTGTCTACAATTTTTTGGTCAATATAATTGTCTAACTTTCCAATCAATTTTGACACGTAGCACAATTTTTTTAATTTAATTTTAAAAAAGTAAAGTAAAATCATGATTTTTATAAAGAAATATTAAAATCCCAAAATTATTCTAAATTCATACGCCCAAATCTTTAAATCTCATATGTTGCTATCGAATCAGTCATTACTATTCATCCATCCTGTCATTGGACTCTCACTGATCTACTATTTTCTTATTGTCACACGTTACACTTAAATCCTATATTATCCTTAAATCTCGTCGCACAATTATTTTTTTCACCCAACTATCTTATATAGAGGCTATAATAATTGTAAATAATTTTTTGAACAATTCCTACTTAAGGGTGGAGACCACAATCCAAAGGAACTAAAAAAGATATGTCAACCGAGAGCTTTAATCATATCCTCTAGAATTATTGACGATTGTGACAAAAAAAGTCATTGTATCATTTCATACGCAAAAAAAAAAAAAATCAATGTATCATTTCATATATTTGGCTGCCTCACCGATTGTGGCGAAAGATCATGCCCCAGTTTTTAACATTACTTAAAATCGGAAAGTAGGGTTTTAGATTTTAAACAATTTGAAAAGAATGAACTTGGGAATGGAAAATTGATGACTTTCGATTAAAAAAAAGCACAAAACATGGTTTCTCAATGCTATAATAACAGGGAGAAGATTCACACTTATCATCAATTATGTTGTTCAAGTTTGAAAGATGGGATATGGTGGAAATAGGCATTCTAAATTATTTATATTAGAGATAGAATCATAACCTATATTTACTCAAATTCAAACACCTGCCAAAAGAACGCACAATACTCGTTCAAGTTTTTACAATGCTCAAGAATTGATAGTTGTTGAGTTGATTTTTTTTATAAGGGTAAACGACACCGGATACCACCGAACTTTAGGTGTTGTATCGTTTATACCATTAAACTTTTAATTTAATCAATTATAGTTTGAATTTTAATTTTCGTTTCACTTATACCAGTAAACCGTCAAATCATTAACGACGCGATGACGTGGTTAATGGCTGACGGCTTTCGATGTAGACACCTCACCAAAACGACGTCGTTTTGGTCCGACTGTTAACGATTTAACGGTCCAGTGGTATAATTGAAATGAAGATTAAAGTTCAACATCGTAATTGGCAAAATTGAAAGTTTAACAGTATAAACGATACAACACCTAAATTTTGGTGGTATCCGGTATAGTTTACCCATTTTATAATTAAAGTTTTGTTGCGGAGAGTAGAAAAAAAATTTGGATGGATGAAAATTTAAATTGTCTTTTATTTTACATAAAAAATTATTTTTATTTATTGTTTGAGAGATATTTTGAAAAAAAAATGGAAAATAATAGATAAACTTGACAACTAAAAAATTATAAAATATTGAAAATTAATTTTACGTATCATATGATATATACGTTCTATACAAAGACTCTCCTCGTATCATCATTTGTATCTCATATTAATTATATACATAATTTTAGGAGATATATTTGACCAAAGGGAAATGATAAAATTATTCATAAAAAATGATTTGTAGATTTATTTTTATAGGTGTAAAAAAGTGATACATATAATAATTTTAGTAGGACGGAAGAAGTACGAAAGAGTGACCAATAATACATATTAATAAACTAATGATTTATATAGTAGTTTAATCCAAATTATATAAATATGGCATGAATCAAGTTATAAGTGGTTAAATGAATGGTTATTATCCTTAGAGATATAAGGTTCAAGCACCAAAGATATTAATGCATTGAAGAATGAAATTCCAAATGTCAATCAAATCATATATATATAAAACAATTTTGAGAAACTCAAAAATAAAATAAAATAAAAAGTGTCAAAATTTCAATACACGCTTTTGCAAGTGTCGAAGTTATGTTACAAACAATAAATTCAGAGATACTAACTTTATCTATCAAATTGCATGTTTATAGCCGATTTTATAGAGAGATATAGTTTTATTTTATGTTTTCAACAAATTTTCCACCAAGATTTTATTCAAAATAAAATTATAGTATTAAATATTGACTCTCAATTTGTAAAAGAATCTCATAAATTGTTGAGCAAATTAATAGACACTTGTCTTTATTTATAGAATAAAATAGGAGCTTAAAAGTATTTGAAATATTATATGTTATTATTAAAAAAATATAATTTATTTTTATTTTATTTGAAATATTATAAAAGTAGAAAGAACGAAAAGATTAATGATTTGAGAAATAAGAATAAAAACATTAAAATAAAAATTTAAGAAAAAAGTAAAATTTTCTGTGCATATATATATATATATATATATCAATTATATCTTATCAACACTTTATTAGTTTTAAAGCTTTTACTTGGTGAAACTAATATTTTTAAAAATAAGTTTAAATCTAAACCTTTGTGATTTTCATTTTTGATAATTTAAATTATGTATATTAATTTTTTTTTTGAGAATACTAAAATAAATAATATATTAACATATTAATATAAATTTTTAACAAATTTAAGAAGATAAACTATTTTTTAAATAATTTAAAAATCAAATAACTTGGTATAATTTTTCTATGTTTTGAGAGACCTGGCCTCCACAATCCTCTATAATTCTGCCCTGATTTAACTCAATATTTTTAAAAGTCATTTACCATAGCAATATTGACGGGAGGAGTCACAAAAAATTAAAGTCAAGGGTTGGGCCCCCGCTTTCAAATCCAAATCTTGGAATAATGAACCTTCACATTCACATTGCTTTTGTTTTCCCTTTTTCTTTACTTTTATTTTCCGCATTTTGTTTGAAGCAAATCTTGTTTAAAGTTTCTTTATATATAAGAAATTATTCATAATCAAACATAAAAGTTAATGATATATTATATATCTTATATGTATAATCTTTAAAAATATAAAATTAAATTATTAATAAACATTCAAAAATTGGAGGATTGGAATAATGCTAGTGCTCTGCGACATGTACGGGCATTGGTCACCAAGGTTGATTCTCTTTGGGTGAAGAAGGCGGATGAGTATGTTTTGAAAGGGTGTCCTTTTATAGATTTCATGCGTTTTGCTTGTAATCGGTTTTGAAAGAAATTATTGAAGCTGCGGGCTATTGTGATTCAGTTTGTAGATCCTACCTCGGGTTGCCGAAGGTTATTGGGGCAGTTTACAGTCAATGATATTTGATAGGAGATAAGAAGTAAGCATGAGAGGGTCCTTGGACGGGTCTTATCTGGTTCCCATTGCATATTTTCGGTGTATTGTGATTTCTTGTTTGGTCTTATCTGGTTATTGTTAATGCCCACCTGACCTCCATGTGCATCCGCCGCCTGCGACTAGTGAAAACTTGATTAGAAAAGAATATATCAACTCCAGGATCTGTGCTGACTGGGAGATTGTTTGATTCCGATTGCATTCTTATAGTTTGTATTTGTTGCGTTTTTAGTTTTTCTAAGGGTCTGTTTGGGATGACTTAGTTTGTAAGGGATGTTTTTATTTTGATTGTTACTAAGATTTCCTTGTAACAGAACGATATTTATTTGGGCTAATGAAAATTTTATCATTCATCTAAAAATTAAATAAATAAAATTTAAATTATAAAAAGAATTAAAATATACGATCGTCCTTTGAATATCATTTGATCGATTAAAAGTTTCTATATGTTTGGTGACCACATTTACGTTTGAAGTCAAAAATCTTCTAGAATATCTAAAATTTCAAAAGTCTTATTATCACATTTAAACTTAGGCGTATAATATTTAAATCAATTTAATTGTAGCCGGTTGTCTGTTAAGAAAACAGGGGGAAGCCGATATTGAAGTAGGCATCGAACTTTATTTATATTTTCCAAAAGTGATGTTAAAAAGTGTTGCATAAAAATATTTTTAAAAGTAATTTCTAAAAGTATAATTTAAAATTTAATAGTCTAAGATTGTTGTTAAAAAATGATTTTGAAAATATAAAATGTCGGTTTAAGATATTAATAATATTTTTATATATGAAAATACAAAGACATAGCTTACACCGGTATAAACATGTATTTCTTTAAATTTTGCACAACAATCTCCCCCACCGTAAAAAAAAAGATGTGAGAAAAAAAAAACAAAATCTTATTTATAACATAAGCTTTTATTACTTGAAAGATAGTACAACTCACCCGTTTAGGTCTAAAAGCTTCAAAATCTCAACTTTTGAGTTTAGATCTAAAATCCCGTTTGAAACGCCAATTTTAATTAAAAATACATTTATTTAGGAACACTAATACTTAAATAAGTGATTTTAAGGCGTCAAAACAGTCT